CTTGGTTGCGGGCACATCCCCGGTGGGGAGTGTGCAGGAGGCAGCTGATCGATGTTTCTCTTTCATCGATGTTTCTAACTCTCTATCCCTCTCCCTTCATCTCTGTAAAAATCAATAAAATATATTTAAAAACAAAAAGCAAGGGTCCTAGACAAGGAGGGAGTCTTCAGTTCCTTTAGCTGAAGGTCCTCTGACCCCCAATGCCTTTCAAAATTATATCTGGTCTCCGGACTCTTTATTAGTCCCCGGATTCCTATGTCATCTATGCACAGCCTTCTCCAGATTCCTGAACCCTTCTTGATGCTGGGACAAGAACCCTAGCAGTGAGGATGGCCCAGCCAGTGTCCTGGGTCAGGGACGTCCAAGAGCAGGTTGAAAAGGCCATGGGGGTAGGTGGCTGTGGCCCCCGTGGGGAGTGTCCCAGATGGCAAGCAGCCAGGCCTCTGGGTCTTGGGGGGCGGGATCCCGGGGAGCATGGCCAGGCAGATCCCAGGTGGTGTCTGAACCATCTGGCCAAGGCCAGTTGAGGATGAAGGCCCATCCCATGTCCCCAGGGAGCCCTCGAGTGGGCAAGATTGTCATGGCCGCAGCCGCCAAGCACCTGACGCCCGTCACGCTGGAGCTGGGGGGCAAGAACCCCTGCTACGTGGACGACAACTGCGACGCCCAGACCGTGGCCAACCGAGTGGCCTTTTTCCGCTACTTCAACGCTGGCCAGACCTGCGTGGCCCCCGACTACATCCTGTGCAGCCCCGAAATGCAGGAGCGGCTGGTGCCCGCCCTGCAGAGCGCCATCACCCGCTTCTATGGCGAGGACCCCAGGGCCTCCCCAGACCTGGGCCGCATCGTCAGTGAGAAGCATTTCCAGCGGCTCCGGGGCCTGCTGGGCTGTGGCCGCGTGGCCATCGGGGGCCAGAGTGAGGAGAGCGACCGCTACATCGGTGAGTCCCGCTCTCCCGACCCCGGGACCCCCGGGCTAAGGCCCTTCGCTGGAGGCCACAGCTGGGCCGAGTCTGGGCCCTGAGGTTCCCAGGACCCCACTGATGGAGCCCAGCCAGGTCCACGGCTCTGCTGCCACGATTCCCAGACACTAACGCCACAGGTCGCCATGGTCTGAGCCTGTGACCCCGTGACCCTGCTTCTTGGAGCTGGGCCCAGTGTCCAGGCTCCCGAACATGCAGATCCCCAGCTTCAGCCCCAGCAGCTGCTGCTCCACAACCATGACCCCGAGTCCTGTGGGCCCTCGATTCCCGGCCTGTGCACCCGCTGGGCTGTTCTTACAAAGCAGCCCCAGCCTCTGGGCCCCACGATTCGGTGACGCTGCTGCTCCCACAGGCTGGGACCTGGGACCCTGGGCTCCAGGGGTCTGAGATCCGGTCACCCTGAGACTGTCAGACCAAGGCTGGGGTCCAGGGTTCCCGGTCAGTTCTCAGGGCCGTGGGGAGACTCTTCCCTAGAACATCCCCGATCCTGGAGCCCGGTCCCTGGGCCCTGCCCGGGGCTGAGCCGTCCCCTGTGCCCGGGCAGCCCCCACGGTGCTGGTGGACGTGCAGGAGACGGAGCCGGTGATGCAGGAGGAGATCTTCGGGCCCATCCTGCCCATCGTGACCGTGAGGAGCCTGGACGAGGCCATCGACTTCATCAACCGCCGGGAGAAGCCCCTGGCCCTGTACACCTTCTCCAACAGCAGCCAGGTGGGCCCGGGCAGGGTTGGGGCAACAGAGGAGCTGAAAGGGGTGCAGACAGCTTGGAAAGTGCTTGAGAGACGATGTTGCTCAGTAGAGGATGGAGCCGGGGCGTGCCTCTGCTCCCCGTGGAACGGCTGGGCCGAGCCCCCCTTTCCTGACAATGAGCCCACCACTCTGCCCCCACCGCCCCCAGGTAGTGAACCAGGTGCTGGCGCAGACCAGCAGTGGCAACTTCGGAGGCAACGAGGGCTTCATGTACCAGACCCTGTGGTCCATGCCGATGGGGGGAGTTGGTGAGCCCTGCCCTCCTCCTCCTCCAGCCCCCACCCCCGGGAAGCCGGTGTGGGTGCTCCAGACCCAGAAAAGCCCAGTTTTGCCTTCATTCACTGTTAATGTTGATCTAAGCCCTGGGCCTCTCATGGCCTCAGTTTCCCTATCTGCAAAATGGCTCTTAGAATGGCCAGGCTTTCCCTGAGCCCGCTACCAGGGGTGGGCAGTGGGCTGCCCAGCCTCAGACCCTCACGTGCGTGCCCATGCAGGCCACAGCGGGATGGGAAGATACCACGGCAAGTTCTCCTTCGACACCTTCTCCAACCACCGCGCCTGCCTGCTCTCCCACTCGGGCCTGGAGAAGCTCAATGAACTCCACTACCCGCCCTATACCGCCGTGAAGAAGAAGCTGATTAGCTGGGCCTTGGGCTCCCATAGCTGCACCCTCCTGTGAGCGCTCTGCCCATCTCCAGCGCCCCACCTCCACACCCCCCTCTCTCCAACTGCTGCCCACGTGCTCGGTCCCCGAAAGGCAGCGTCCCCTCCAAGAGTGCAAAGGTCCTGCTCCCGGGGTTTTGTCTGAACAGTCTCCCTGCTGGACAGACCTCTGGGCTGCTGGGCCCCCTCTCTCGGGGCCCAAATCCCCTGGGCATCCTCCTGACAGATTCATTGACCCTCTGCTTGGATATGTCTGGTGACAGAAACTTCACCCCCACAAGGTTGGGTAATTCAGGGGGTTAGAAAGCACTCCCTTGCCCTGGCCGGTGTGGCTCAGTTGGTTGAACATCATCCCATGCAGCGAAAGGTCGTGGGTTCGAGTCCCTGTCAGGGCACATGCTCAGGTTGTGGACTGGGTCCCCCAGTAGGGGGCATGCAAGAGGCAGCCAGTCAATGTTTCTCTCCCCTTCACCCCCACAAGGTTGGGTAATTCAGGGGGTTAGAAAGCACTCCCTTGCCCTGGCCGGTGTGGCTCAGTTGGTTGAACATCATCCCATGCACCGAAAGGTCGTGGGTTCGAGTCCCTGTCAGGGCACATGCTCAGGTTGTGGACTGGGTCCCCCAGTAGGGGGCATGCAGGAGGCAGCCAGTCAATGTTTATCTCCCATCAATGTCTCTCTCTCTCTCCCCCTTCCTCTCTCTCTAAAATCAATAAAAACATATTTTTTAAAAAAGGAAAGCACTCTTATATTAGGATCTATAATTAGGCTCCCAAAATACAGAGCTATTTCTTTTTTTAAAAAAATATGTTTTTGTTGATTTTTAGAGAGGGATAGAGAGATAGAAGCATCGATGAGAGAGAAACATCGTCAATCGGCTGCCTTCTGCACGCCCTCTCCTGGGGATGGAGCCTGCGACCCCAGCATGTGCTCTGACCGGGAATCGAACCAGTGACCTCTTGATTCAGGAGTCGACACTCCAGCACACCCGCCGGGCAAACACAGAACTATTTCTAACAGCTCCCCTCACACCTAAGGTTTGGGGAGCCGACCTGAAGTGATCAGATCTGGCCAATTCCCTGAAGTAGGTAATCGACAAGAACCCTGATGCTGTGTGTAGAACCAATAGGAAGGAGTGCCGCGGTGGATTAGTGATGTCTGCGGTGAGCACAGGCAGGGGCTGTGCACAGGGTGGCCACAGCTGTCCTCCCTGCTCCTAGACGCCCAGAAGGTCAGAGCAGGCAGAGTCTGCCACATGGGGAAACCGAGGTCTAGAGACAGGACAGGGCTGAACTGAGTTCATACAGTAAACAGGGCAGAGCTGGGAGACGGTGGGCTTTACGGAGAAGGGTGGGCTGGGGCTCAGTGAACAGCATATCTGGTCCATTGTGACCAGCCTCTCGCCCTCTCCCCAGTCCTCCACCTGGAAGCCCCCTCCCAACACCCCCAGGCCGGCTTTGGTGGGCTCCTCACCCCTCAGAGCCTGGGCTAGGGGCCTGAGACTGAGAGAATAAGGGGAAGGATGATCTTCCCGCTCCCCTGGGAATTGTTGGGGATGGTCGTCTCCAAAAGGGAACAGGGTGGACGCAAAGGAGGTGCTTCACAGGGGCTTGTTGATGAGTGTAGGAAAGAATGGATAAGGAAGAGAAAAGACGAATGGATGGAAGGATGAGTGGGTGGGTGGATGAGACAATAGGTGGGGAGAAGGGCAAGTGAGTGGATGAATGAGACGATGGATATAGCTGGTTGGGTGGATGGATAAACTGATGGATGAGTAGGTGGCCCAGATAGAAGCCGAGTGACCATTGGCCTGGGTCTAAGAGATCCCATTCTCCCACCTCTGCCTTGACAAGTTGCTTCCTCAAATGACCATTGGACTGAAAAGAGAGAGCCAGGGGGGTTGAGAATAACTGGAGGGTGTCCAGGCCACAGTCTGGGCAGTGAGCCCAGTGAGCAAAGACCAGAAGATACTGCTCCGTGAAGACTGGACTTTCTGCTGCCCTCACCACACCTAGGCGTGTCCCCTTTGCCCTCTCGGCCACTGGTTGCTGTGGTTCAGATGAGGGGCAAAGCCTCCTGGAGGTGGGGTGGGGAGGGCAGTCCCCGCATGCCCCACTCCGGCGGCCCCTGGTTGGTAGAGCAGTCACATGACTGCATCCTGGCTGCCAGGGAGGCTGCGAGCAGGTGCAGCCTGCTGCCCTGAGGAGGCTGTTCAAGAGCCACGAATGTGACAGGTAAGTGTCCCCTCCTCACGCCATCCTTCCCCGTCCCAGCCCTTTCCTTTCTCTGTCACTGCTGACCAGGCTCGGTCCTGGCGACGCGTCGTCAGACACAGAACGAAGACCGTTCCTGGTGTTTCTGACCCAGCGCACAGGGGCTCCGAGAGCCTTAAGGCCCTTCAGGCTTTTACTCAGCTGCTCTCCCCTCCCAACTCTCCCTCCCTCCCACCTCTTCCCCACCCCAGACTCCCAGAGGGATCCGGCTCAAATTCCAGATGAGCCCCTGGCCCGGCTCGCACAGCACCCTCGGCTCCCCTGCCGCTTCCCTGCGCCGGCGCCACCACCTAGACAGCCTGGGTGGCATCCCTCTCGGCCACCTGGTACCCGTGCCTTTGGGCAAGTCCCTTCACTTCTCCGAGACTCTGTTTTCTTAGCTTGTAGAATGGGCTCCCACCTACCCCTTAGAGTTGATGTGAGGGTTAAATGAGACCATGTGGGTCGGGGGCCCAGGGGTTCCCACTCTGGGATGCAGTGGAGCCCACACTCTGTAAGGGAGCCAGCGTCGGGCACAGCAGCCCTGGCTGCAGAGGGCCCCCGACCACACCCCTCCTGGGCTTCCCAGGGCCCTGTCACGGCCTTGCCTCGAGGTTTGTGAGAGCGGCCTCTCCCTGTCCAGCGGTCTTGGGGTCCTGCTGCCCGAGGCTGGGGCCCGTCCCAGGGTCCCTTAGAGCTCAGGGGTCAGCTTCAGCCGTAGGTGCTGGTTCCACTGTGGTGACTGACCATAGTCCAGAGGGGCCATTGAGAGAAACTACAATATGGAGTGAGTCTTCCTCCCACCCCCACCCGGACACCAGGCCGGCGGGAAGGAGTGGGCAGGCTGGGCCTGGTGGGGGTTGGGAGGAAGGACCAGGCTGTGATGAGGGTGCTGTGAAAACACAGCAGGAGGGCGGTGAGCAAAGGTCGAAGGGGGACGAGCCTGCTCAGGAGGTGGACGGTCAGGCAGGGGCTCCGAAGGAGTGGCTCCCAGGTCACGTGGCTCTCCTGGGTCAAGCCTGACAATTTTGTGGGTTGGCTCAGGTTTTGACTGCTCGCTGGGCCTCAGTTTCTCCAACTGCAGTGAAGAAGGTGGACCCGTGGAGGATGCCCCTGCCCTCGGTCATGCCAGGGTCCGCTGTGCCTGTTTCCAAGCTTGGGCTGCCCCTCCTCTCAGCTGCTCGGGCCAGGACAGAACCAAGGCCCAGAGAGGGTGCTGACTCTCCCCAAGTCACACAGCCTGTCAGGATGGGCGGCAGAGCCTCAGGGCCGAGCACAGTGTAGACACTGGGTGACCGGGCTGGACAGTTCACTGCCCAGCTCTGCCTCCTCAGTGACCTTTGGACCATCCTTGAAACCGTGTGA